CCTGGTCCACTTATAAAAATGCATGTATTAATAGTAATAGTAATAATAAAGCTAATATACCACAGAGATGTTAACACCTGAAGTCACTAACCCCTCCATGTGAAAGATTTGATAAGATTCTTTTTTTGGGGGTGACAGAAGGAATTGGGATTTGAAGGTAATGGGCATCTGGACAATTCTCTTCAAGAAATTTCTGTAAGTTGGAAAAGGAGGAGTGCTAAGGAGTTCAGCCCACCAAGCTTTCAGCCTTAGCTGTAAAACCCTGTTTTCCCTCACTGTGCCCTTTTTCTATTTTTGAGGTCAACTTCACACAGTATAAAATTAACCATTTAAAAGTGTACAATTCAGTGATACTTAGTATGTTTACAATGTTGTACAACTATCACCTCTGTCCAGTTCCAAAACATTTTCATCATACCCAAAGGAGACCCCATACCCAGCAAGTAGCCATCCCCATTCTCCCTCTCCTCAGCCTCTGGCAACCACCAATCTGCTTCCTGTCTCTGTGGATTTACTTATTTCAGGTATTTCATACAAGTGGAATCATACAATATATGGCCTTTTGTGTCTGGCTTCTGTCACTGAGCAGACTGTTTTTGTGGTTTATTCACATTGTATCAGTACTCCCTTTTATTATAATTAAGTATTATTATGGCTGAATAATATTCCACTGTATAGATATACCACTGTTTTCCTTGTCCTTTCATCTGTTCATGGACTTTTGGGTTGTTTCTACCTTTTGGCTGTTGTGAATTGTGCTACTATGAACATTTGTGTACAAGTATCTGTTTGGACATCTGTTTTCAATTCTTTAGGGCATCTACCTAAGAGCGGTATGGCCGCATCACATGGTAATTCTATGTTTAACTTTTTGAAACCCCGCCAAATTGTTTTCCACAGCAGCTGCACCATTTTACATTCTCCCTAGAAACGTACCAGGATTCCAATTTCTCCAGATCCTTACTAACATTCGTTATTTTCAGCCTTTTTTTTTTTTTAAATGTAGTCATCCTAGTGAGTGTGAAGTGGTATTTCTTTGTGGTTTTGATGTACATTTCCCTAATGATTAATGATGTTGAGCTCATTTGAATGTCTTCTTTAGAGAAGTATCTATTCAAGTTTCTTGCCCACTTTTTAAAATTTTTTATTGTGATTTAGGTGAAACTTTACAGAGCAAATTCACTTTCCATATAACAGCTCACATACACTTTGTCTCATGACATTGACTACTATTTCCCACAGTGCAAGAGCTACCCTCTCACTTCCTCTCCATAGTTACCTCTTCCCTGTGTCCTTCCCTCACATGCACTCCTGCCCCTTAAGCTGTCTCCCTGTGCATACACAGCCCTTCTATTCTCCCAGGATTGATCTCTGCAAAGAGTGTATCTACCTAATGTAAATGTTCAGCTCATATGCCTGTCTTTTGTTTGGCTGGTAGCCACAGGAGTGGGTTCAATTCCAGACCTGAAGAACAGCTAGGGGCCATAGTCCCAAGGGTTCCACCAGGCTCTGTCAGACCAGCAAACCTGGTTCCTCCCCCACTTTTTTCCCCAAAATGATTTTGAGTTTTGTTCCACATTGTTCTCCCTCTCTATCCAGGATCTCCTACATAGATCCCCCTATGTGACTATGGTCCCAAGCTCACAGGTCTAACTATTCACTCTCTCTAAGTAGCTGGCTGTGGTTAAGAAGTGACTACAACTTTGTCCCTTGTCATCTCTACTATATACCTGGGAATTCTTACAGAACATACCAATACACTTGTAGAAACATTGTCTGCAACCCTATGCATAGTCATGGGCACACTCCCCCCCACATAGACATACCTAATAGTTCAGCCTGTCCACCCATCTATCCATCCATAGATCAATGTTTGCCTTCACTGACAACACAGTACTATATGTGCAAACATCTTTGTTGTTTGTACCTCTCACGTACCTCTCTATGTCTTCCTCTTCCTCAATGCCACGGTGTTGATCACTCACCTTTAGTACATTGCCCTTCTCTTCATCCAAATCAATACTTGTCTCTATCTATCTAACAGTGTTCCTTCTCCTCCCCTCCCCTCCTACCCCTGATAGCCAACCAAGAAAATATCCTTTTATATATAAATCTTTCCTTGACTTTTTACAATAATGGACTAAGACAATATTTGTCCTTCTGTGATTGACTTATTTCATTCAACATAATGTCTTCCAAGTTCACCCACGTTATGAAGTGTTTTGCAGATTCTATGTTATTCTTTAGGGTTGCATAGTATTCCATTGTGTGTATGAATA